AAAAATATTTGAATAGAAAAAAAAAAAAAAATAGATATTGGGAAAATTTTTTATTTTAAAAAAAAAAAAAAAAAAAAAAAAAAACACCAACTTGATTAGGGCTGATTAATCAAATCAATCGTGAAAAATTGATTATAGAAATAATCGTCAACTAATTTAGTAATCGGTTAATAGTTACCTGGAGTATAGAGACTCCAAGAATGCACATTTGCTGAAAGAACAACAGTCAGAGTAGTAATAAAGTCAAAACTGTACAAAAAGATGCATACATTTTTTAATTTAAAATACAAAACCTTTCATTTATTCATTCAAAAACTAAACAGACATCTTTTTTTTTAGCATCAATTGCTACAATGATCAAGTGTTAACATTTTTATTTTCTTTTTTAAAAACTGTAATTACTTGTTTATGTGCATGTTTTAATGTATTTTTAACATCGTCTGAAAAAGGCTCAAGTGGTCAAATGAAAAACTTGCAGAATGTGCAAATTTCTTAAATAGAATTAAATTAACCGTCAGAATAATCGATTATTAAAATTGTTAATTCTGATTAATATTAAGTGCAATGGGATGGTACTCTCAGCTGGGTAAAGGTTTTATATTTTAGCTGTTTTAATTTTTGATAGATTTAGAGACTATGTATCAATTAATCAAATATGTAGCCTATTGACTAACAAATGGTAAAAACCTTGTATATAAAACTAATGATTGAGAAAAGATTTCATCTTTAAGTCTTCAAAGATGGAAGACTGATGCTGAACTTGCCTCCTTGTTCGATGTCGGAGTCGGTGAGATGCGTCAGGGAGAAGCTGGCGATGTTTGCCGGTGAAATGGAGAAACGGGAGTAGGTGGAGGAGCTGCTCCAGCTCGGCTGCAGCACGCGTCCGACTGACTGGGGAGTAGAGGACACGTCCTTAGAGACGGGGTCTTTGTCACTCTTGGAGAGGAAGGCAGGTCCGGGTGAGGAGAAGTCGTCGTCCCACTCAAAACCACCACCTGAGAGACGTTACAGAACACGTTAGCAGATTGGATTCATGTTAATCGGTGACAGTGAATACCAGGTTTTCGCCTCACCCTCTTCGTCTGTTGAGCTTTCAGAGTTAGCAAAGCGGTTCAGGTAGCTGGCTGTGGACACGGGGCTGCTGAGCTCTGGGGACTGACTGCTCAAACCAGACAAGTGGTCTCCCAGTTCCTTAGTGGGCGTCTCCTGCAACGCAACAGGTAAGAGAACAATTAATAGGACACAAATGAGCGCTCCGCTTTTATTGGAACCTCTGTACAAGAAGTGTGACTGGCTTAAACTGTTCTAGCTTTTTGTAGTAACATTAAAAAAATGCACAAGGACAAAAAACAAAAAACGTTTAATTTCAGAACATTTATTCAGTGAATTTAAGAAAAAATAAAAAAAATTGCAAAATAAAATTTAAGTTGTCATTACCTGGTCAAACAGGTAGACTGTGACATCATCGAAGAACGACACCGCTCTCCTGGAGTTCTCTGCATTGTGCCTGGATGCAAACGAGGAAGACGGAGCTTCGATGTTCAGGTTGGTCGGTTTCAGCAGGCTCTTCAGGTTCCTGCCGCTGGTGTCGTCCGACACAATAATGGGCACGGCGTGCACGACTTCGTCCTCGCTGTCCTCGCTGGAGCTGTGCAGCTGATACGCGCGCATGTCGTCGTCGGAGTCCTCGCTGTTCTCGTCCTCCTCGTCGGCGTCGACGCCGTCTTCTTGTCCTTCTAAACCCGGACCGTCGCACCTGCCCAGGTAGCGGCCCTCCACGTCGGGCTCTTTGATTTTATGACCGTCGTGGGCGTAGGTTCTGGTCAGTTTAGCGTGAACAGCGCCCTCTAGTGTCGGCTTTGTGGCGGGATCGGATGGGAGAGGGGAGGTTTCCAGACCTTCTGTCGGACTCAGTGTTTCAGGAAACGAGTCCTGGTGATTCTCCGTTTCCGTTTCTTTTCCATTGTGAGCTTCTGCCACTTCGCTTTTTAGCTCCTCTCTAATATCTGAAGTCGCCTCTAGATGCAGGTCCTCAACATCAACAGGTGCAGAGGAATCTTCTTGGGAAAATAAAGCATCAATATCTCTTTCCTTGTAAGCTTCCAGCATCTGACCTTCAGTGTTCCTCATCCATGCGACTTCTGCAGAACTTCCTGCGGTCGACTCCTCTGCCTTTTTCTCTGGTTCCGATTCATTATCCGAAAAGTAGGCGGAGTCTCTGTAGTTGCTACCAGTGAGTGGTTCTTCTGCAGGATCTCCGTGGTCTGGCCGGTGATCCTCGCTTGGATCCACACCGCGAGTTTCGAGCATACCCACAGCCTCAGAGATGACTATTTTGGGGGGGACCAAATTGGTGGAAGCACAAAGCTCTTCCGACTCCTCTTCGATGGAAACGCCAACGTCATTTTTCACAGGGGAGCAGTCTGCGACGTTGGGCTGCGAGTTCCATTCGGGAGACTCCAGGTTCTCCGTCTCATAGCCGCTGTCTGATATTTTGTACGGAGGCTGAAGTTTATTTTGGGAGATTTGAGCTTTCAGCTCCTCCGCCTGCTCCGCCAGCCGATGAATGTCGAGAGAGTCGAGAGAATCTGGCGTTTCAGCTGAATTGTCCACCGTCGGGACGGTGGTGGACATGCTGTCTTCCAATAAGCTATCCTGGCTTATCTGATCCAAGGAAGGACCGGACACGAGGAGAGAGGATCTAACGAGTGGGTGTCCGTTAGTCTCCAGGAAAGATTCTTCCTGATCAGACAGATTTGTTTCCAGGTCTAGATCTGCGTCCTCAATCAGCTCACTCAGAAGGTCGTTGCTCGTTAGGTCATCGTTCTGTCCATTTTCAGAAGGGATTGTTTGAACTGGGAGATTTTCAGGCATTTCACTTCCTATGACCTTTGAGACTTCGTGGTCATCTTCAAGGCTGGGGATTTTGGCATCTGTGGACAAAGAGTCTGTAGTGGCACTGTCAGAGCAAAAAGGGATATGGCCATCCATACTGTTAGTGATGTGCTCAAACCTCTGTGAGGTAGAATTGAAACCGGAGTCTGCAGTCCTGTCTGAGGACTGGAGCAGAGTGAGGTCTTCAGTGGAAGAACCGTTACTGACTGGCACCTGGCTGTCTGTTTTGTCATCTGCAACCACTGTAATGGAAGGCACCAGAGTTTTATTTTCTATCAAAAACGGCCCCAAGTTGGTGCTTGGAGAGTCTAAAAAATCCCCTGTTGAGGCTGTGCTACTTGTTGCAGGACTCAAATGTGTATCTGCTGTGTTTAAGCTGCCTAAAGTGTCGAAGTTGTCCCAGGAGTTCATCTTGAATGTTTCCTCGGGTTCGTGGACAATGCCCGGTAAGAGAAAGTTCTGCAGTGGATTTGAGAAGCTCGAGTCCTCTTTCATCAGGTTCTGTTCTCTGAGAAACAAAAAATTATCAGACAGTTTTTCAGTCTCCAGACGCCTCCTTGCATCCGTGTTTTCCTGCTCTCCTTCCATAGCAACCGGCTGGTGACAGGTGTCCCCCTCCTCTAAAAAATAGCTCGGATTTGGGTTCACGTCTTCGACTTCCAAAGCTTCATCAAGAAAAGGGTTCCCACTGCGCTCCGGGAGCTCCAGAAAGTTCTGCCTCCAGGAGGGGGAGTCTTCGTGCTTTGACCCCTCTTCAGTGAAAATGTTGGTGTGGTACGGACTGTCGTTTTCTAGAGATGACCAGATGTGGCTGTCTGGTAAATATGAATCCTTTGAGTCGATGCTTTGGTGGAAAAAGTCAGCATCCGTGCTCGACTCGTCCAGACGGACATCTTGAAGCACAACAAAGTCTTTCTGGATAGAAGTGAAGCCCATGTCCTGTTCTGCGTTCTCAACGTCCCCGTCAGCGCTCTCGCCTTGCTCCTCAAGCTGGATATAATATTCATTCCCGTTTGATGACTCCTGCGAATTAAACACTGGGACAATCCCAGGAACTCCTAATGCAGAGTTCCCACTTTCAGCTCCTCCTGCCCTGGGTAGAGGATCGGGGAAATGAGCCTGGATGTCCTCCCTAGAAACAGGGAAGAACATGCTCTGGTAGTTTAAGGTAGTGTCCATGTCTGATCGGCCGTGGCTGCTGTCGTAGTGGTCATGCTTGGCTGCTTCCCAAACGTACTCGAAGCTGAGACCTTTGCTCGTTTCTGTAATGGTCAAAACTTCGTCTATCTCTTGTCGCAAAGCATCGTCGGCAAACTGGTCCAGGATCGGGAAAGACGAGTGGTTAGCAGTCTGTCGGGTGACGGGATTAGGCTTCAGTGCATCCCAGCGTTGCTCGAAATCTTCCTCCATGTCCTTCTGGCCTTGCATTCGCAGATAGATTAGCAAACGGTGCACTTCCTCGGCTGTGGCCCGCTTCTCAGGGGAGAGCCAGCAGAACTGCAACACCTCATACCTGCAGGTACAAAAAACAGATAAATCATTTAGACTTTCTCCTGACTTTATAACTGTTTTTCTACTCTATTTGGGAGGAAAATCTCTCAGACAATGGCTGAAAAGTCTCACCATCTGTCAGAATAAGGAAGCTCTAGTTGCGGTTTGAACAGTTTGACTTGTTGCTCCTTGATTACATGATGTAGAACCTCCCGGTCATGCAGGTGTGGGTACGGCTGAGTGGCATTCTCAAAAAGCTCCCATAATGTGACCCCCAAAGCCCTGCAAACAGAGGAAGAGCGGCAGCTACTGTTAGCCCCATAAAACACACTTGCTGCTCAGCAAATTACATGAACATGAAACAAATGCATTTAAATGAATGAGGTTACATAAAAACACTGGTAATTATTGGAAACATTTCCAAGCGGAGCAGTATTTAAACGACACATTATTGCCGTCGCAGGAAAGGAAAAACAAGTTAATTTTTAACACGATACTATCTAGAACAAAGTATCATCTGCCATCTGTACTTTAACTCGCATGTTTGCAACACTTAACTGACTTCAACAGGACAAAAAGAAGTCATGTGGTCTTTATTAGGTTCTATATCCAAACTGGTATACAGTCTTTTTATTTTTATTTTTTTTTTACCAGGGTTGGAAATCTTACATAGGCCTGCCTGACGTTAGAAAATTTGCAACGTCGATAGTAAAGGCTAATATTGTAATAATATTGTCTATTATTCTTGTTCCTCTCTTACATCCAGCGTCAGGATCTGCTGCTTTCAGACTCCAACTGTGCAACTGGCTAAATATTACAATAACATGAAAAATGTAGGTTGATAACACTAGGAATAAAGTTGCAAACAATTACTTAAACTTCAAACAGTCCTTTGTGATATAAATATTGCACACACTGATATGCAATATACATTACAAACATTTTCATCCAATTCACTGAAGGTTTTAACAGTTTTTTCTAGAACTCGGAAGAAAGACGTGATCAACTCATTATCAGGCAGATTTTTTTTTTTTTTGACTCTTCAAAAGGTTTTTTTTGGTCAGCAGATATGTGTACCTACCACACATTGCTGGCCTTTGTCTGCTCCATCGTAATCACCCCCCCATGGCGCTCCACCACCAGTTCAGGAGCCAGCCACCGCAGGGGTGCGAACACATCATCCTCCGTGATGATGTAATCGTCCTGCAGAAATGGGATTGTTTTAAACGTGGCATCACACAGATATGGATAACAGCCTAAACGAAAAGCATCGTAAAGAGCAGAGATTTAGCGACTGTTGAGGCAGCACACCCTGACATTGCCTCTCTGTTTTCTTACAGAAATAGATTCGCTGGGTGACCTTCCCTCATGAGTATTAAATTCAGACAGCATAACTGCTGGCTAAGCTGTATTTCAGGAATGCAGTAGATCCAACTGCTGAGGACATATGCAGCACGTCAAGTTACAGAGAGGACAATCCGATTTCTGCGGTGAAATGTATCCCATGTCTGATCAAAGGGGACATTTGTTTCGTCTCAGACTGAACGCAGTTATTTTCTGTGCGCTCGCCTGGGTAAAAATAGCAGAGATTGAGATTCTTCTTCAGCTATGAAACCCAGCCAGGTTTTGATGTAGTTATGACAGCGATTTAGCTACGAGTAAAACACAAAAACTAAACCAAAGGATGAATGGTCCAAGTTTTGATTATCACATCATCTTCCAATAGGACCCACCAAAAAAAAAAAAAGCACATGTGTTTTTGGTATTTTATAGAGCACATTATCAGGGACTACCTACAAATAACTTAAAAACATTTGACAACAGAATACAACTATGAAATATTTAAACTTTGCAAAAACCAAAAGAATATCCACAAGTACATTCTCCTGAAGTGTATTTTAGGTCAGGCACATAGGTTGGTCACCCAATGAATCTGGATTATTCCTAAAAATCTAGAGATATTTCATCCTTTCCAATAACATTCAGAGTGAACAAAACTACATTTGCTGTGGCATCTCCTTTTCCGGCTTGGTTAGACAAGCTGAAACATCAGTCGTTAAATTTTATGATGTTCAAATTCAAGCACCAAGTTCATGAAGGATGGGAACTTTTTGAAGACATTTTGTCCTTACACGATGAACTATACTGAAATATCACATGCCGAATTAACAAAAAGTCATATTAAAACAGAAAGTAAACATGCTAGCATTAGCCTAGCACTTCTTCAAACAACTGAGAAAATGTAATGTGGAGGAGAACCATGGGGAATTCCTTGGTTATACGTGTCAACTTGGATATAAGTTTAGGACTGAAGCTTGTTGGTTTTCCTTTGGGATGCCTTGTTAATATATATTAGCATTTTCACCCATTTTCCTCTCGAGTTGGAGGAGTGCATTTTGACCGACCTTTATAAACTACTACTGGGATTTAAAAAAATAAAAAAATAAAAAATCTGCCACTGTCAAGGAAAGTACATACGTCCTAAACATCACTGGTGACTGGGACACAGCGACAAAAATAATGTAAATCATGCATTATAGATGAAATAGTGTTTTATTTAACTACATATTATAGTTCGGAAGAAGTTGTTTATACAGCATATTTGGGACTGAATCTTAGCTTGTCATGACAACTTCTTCATTTGTGAGGAATACTAATAAATTACATATGATCATAAACTCAAATTTCAGATAAGCAAAGACTATTTTGCAAACAGTATTAAAAAATCCAAGTGAACCTATGAAAGCTGTGTTTCTGTGAAAAGGAATGTCATTAGTTAGCATTAGATGAAAAAAAAAAAAAAATGTATGCAGATTATTACAGTAATTATGCACAGAGGATAACAAACCATGAATGTCCTTACTTTATATCTGTAGGGTCCGATCCCATAGTCTCCCACTTTAACTGTAAGATCTGAGGTCAAGTAGCAGTTCCTTAGGGCCAAATCACTGTGAGAACACACACACACACACACAAAAAAAGCATTAAATATTTACTAAGATCAATCTCGCTTCTTTCTTTAAGTGTCGGTTTTTATACAAGCTTTGCTCATCTGGTTGTAAGAGATTACCACGGAATGGTTCTAGAGGGGCGTCTCTCAAGAATCACAAATGATTTGGGTGCCCACAGGAATTCAGTACAAGTGGCTTCTCCTTTTCCCCCACTCTTCACATTAAACTCTTACGGGAGCTATTTTTTATTTTTTTTGGCTTGGGCACAGGATGTTGCTTCTGGAGAGGAAACGGACCGAGAGCTTTTGTCGGTCTGCCAGGAGAGGGCGTCCAGCTCAGAGGTTCTGCACATTAAGCATTCATTCACAGCGAATCCAGAGGCAGGCTCCTGTTACTCTCTGCCTCACCGGCGTTCTTGGTACACAGAGTCCTTTTTTTAAACCACCCAATGACAGACGCTGTGGACACCAATATCCTTGTGCGTACATGCATAGCCTAGCTAACAACCTGTCCTGCAGAAACCTCTGAAAAGATAAATGAAGATGCATTTTGAAGCACTCCTGTCCTCCGCTGTTGGTTAACGTGTCAACATGTTAGTGACACAGTAAGGAGGGGAACAAGTTCAACATGTTGGCCCTACAAGTCTGTTATATGGTGAAGAGGCGATCACTTCAATACCCATGAGGTATTTGTGGACTCATTCCAAAACCCAGCTACACTCTCGGGTTCAGCAATACTTGGGTCACTCAAATCACTTCTTGAAAAATAATATTAACCAAGTGGCACATTTTGAAAGAAAATTGTTAGTTTAGATGACAATTTAAAAAAAAAAAGTTACGGATGCCATCTTTTAAAAGTGCAATATTAAACAAAAGTGTAAAACAACATAACATGAAAGAAAAAATTACTAAAAAACTAATTTTCAGACATACATTCCTTGTAAATAATTTGGTGGCATTAGTGGTTGAGTTGAAAAGTCATTTTAAATCATGTCTAAAAAGCAAAACATTTATGGAATAAAATATTCCCTCCACCCATCCAACACCTGACGATGCTTTCATGCAAAAACAAAAAGCTCATATGTGCATCCTAAAATCAAGATAAAAATTCAACTGATTGTGAATAAAAGCAATTATTTTACCTATTCAAGCAATGTCATATTTATAGTTTTAAGAAGCCATTTCCAAAAGATTTGAGTTGAAAAAAGTCCAATGACAAAAACAAAAGATTCCAGTAATGACCAATTTTTATTTTCTTTTTCTTGGTCATTACTGGAATGATTTAATTATTTCAATCTTTAATTTAATTATTTCAAAAATGATTTAATTATTTCAATGTTAAGTTTCAGGGATTTCTTTTAAACTGAGCCAAATTTAAAGTTTCAATTGCATCATTTGAGCCAAACACGGTCACTTCTAGCTGGGAAAAAAAGCCCAGGATGACGACGGACAAATGTCAAAGTTGAAGTTTGAAATGGCAGCTGAAAAAACTAGCAGGTGACATAGTGCTGCCTTCTGTTGTGTAAAGATTATTTTTGGTTGAGAAATGTTTTGACTACAGGTGAAAGAGTTCTCGGCACTGGATAAATACGTTTAAGAATATTACTCCGATTGAATTTAATGTACACTGCCAAAGAGAAAAAAAAAAAGAAAAATATTGATTCATAAGAGATCCCACACTTAAAAAATGTAAACATTTTAAAGTTTCCAAAAAGGAATTTATTAATGAGACAAGCTGCTGATTGGGTTTTGCTCTTTTGCACCTCCATTCTTATCCCTGCATAGCAAAGCTGAGATTTCAGCCTGGGACGTCGGCCCACACAGCACTTGTCCCGAGGGGTTTTGTGTCTGTGTTGCTGCACCAAGCGCTTACCCTCTTATATACAGTTTCATCAAGCTGCACACTGTGTCCTTTTTTTTAGTTCGCATAATGAGTTAGTTTTTTTTTGTTTTTTTTTAAACGTTTTGAGTTGAACCTGTCAAAGAACCATTTTCACTAGTGAAAATGAAACGAGTCAACGCTGAGGAAATCGTGTAGACCTCTCTGTGAGTTGTAACAAGGATTAAACCACAACACCCAATATGAGGATATCCCTTTACATGCAAAGAGCAGAATCATCATATCCCTCTGGCAGCGGACAGCTGACACTGTGGCAATGCATTGGAGCTGTGTAATTGGAACCCTCAAAGCTTATTCTGAGCATGCAAAATAGAGCTGATGAGCTGAGCATCGTATGCTAGCCCCACCCCACCCTGCGATCCCCGAGTTCTTAACATCTCCCTGCACCCCTGCTGGCGGGGGTGGAGGGGTATGAGGTGGGGGAACCCAACCAGTGCTGGCTGTGGTAAAAATGAAAACGAAACGCGGCCGCTCCGCTGTACAAACCTTTTTTGGAGAACACCTGTACTCCTGAGACTGGTTGGACAGACAGTAGGCAAGTAAAACTGACTGTCGGTCTACGTCTTCGTAATCATTTCCACCAACTTTTATGACTGTGTACTTACCACATGACACTTTAAATACCTTGTAAAATTAATTATTTTAGAAATCAAAGTAGCAAAACTTACTGATTAGGTAAATATTAACATATTTGAAGTTTGTTCTTTTTTTTAAAAGACCTCAAAATAAAAGTAAATAATCACAATCTTTAAAAACTACAAAACAATGCTGACACAGCTGCTGTCGCTGACAAAGTAAGCAATACCCTAAACAGTGGCTGCACAAAAAGAAAAAAAAAGAAAGAAACACATTGCTTTGCTTAGCGGATCAAAACTGTGTGCGCTTAATTAAGTGTTGCAGTTCTGAAGTGCTACCTGTGCAGGAAGTTGTGTTTGTGAAGGTGAGTGACACCAGCAGCAATTTCGCAGGCCATCCTCTGCAGCTGCAGCAACTCAGCGTTTCTCAACGTCCAATCCTGCTGAGATAGATAGCTTCGCAAATCCCCCTGCAGCAACAAGCAAAGACGCACACAAAGAGCAGTTAACCCATTCAAAGCAAACAACTGACCAGAAAGAGAAATATTCTGTAAATTATTACAAAAAAAAAAAAAAAGGCAAGAGATGCCAATAAAATGCAGTGTGCAGACGCTGCCACAAAGGGGCAGCAGACTCCCCGCTTCTTGTCTTTTCAGCACTTCTCACAGCCCAGGGTGAGACAGCCAAATAAGGGTAACACAATTCAGTGCTTCTCAGTGCTGTGTCACAGATTTATAAATAAGAGTGGTCTCGGTCAGATCGAGAAATTACTGCGTACTCATCTCGTCTGGACAATTATTCATCGCCAATACAATGAACTGGAAATATTCACATTCAAAATGATAAAGAAACTATTTGGAAAATTAACCCTGCGGTTTGCCGGAGCGGCGTGACGACAGAGCAGTGAGACGTCAATCATGTGGTGCACCGGGAACAAATAGTTAACCTCTGGGGGGTATGCCAAAGAGTCAGTAAATTTGACTTTCAACAAGCGCTCAGGCCCAGCCTCGTAGCACATCTGTGTCTGTCATTCATTAAAGTATAACAGAAAGTGACTGCCAAATCGTCAATGTGTTATTGTGTAAACTCCTTAACACTTACTTTGGAAAAAAAAAAAAAAAAAAAAAAAGCCTGCTAAAATGTGCAAAACAGTCGGTTTAAGAGAAATTCCCTTAAATTAGCTAAACATGCAAATATCTTTACTGTTTGAGTTTACATGCTAACGTTTACAAGGAGTATCTTTTGCAACAAGCTGTCTAGTTCCTTTAAAATCAGTCATATGAGCTCAGTTCTAAGTATTAATTGAGTTTACTTCACGATTACACACTTTTCTTTGTCGGTCTGACACATAACTCTAATAAAACACATTGAATTATAACGTGACAAATATGGAAAATCGTATGTTCGCCTTTGCTTGGCTCTGTATACACAGAAGATCCAGCAGGGCTTTCGTAGAAAGTCTTAACTCTAAAGCTGCATTCAAAGTATATAAACGTAGTCGTTAGTCTACCTTCACTTGTGAATCTTTAGGAGTAGGTTATGAAGTTTGTGTTCCAGGAAACATGCTACTAACAAAACAATAAAAGTACAAGCATGTACTAAGTTCAAGTTTAGCTTGGCTGCTACAGTATCCAGTTACAAAAATGAACATAAAAATGAATTCCAGGTATTTTCTGAGGCAACTCGGGATGCCATTTTGGAGACTTGGAGGTATTTTAGAAATTACCGTAAGCCTATTTGCAGCGTCTACCTAAGTTAATAGATCACCGAGGGCTACCGGGAAATGTAAGCAATCACGAATCAGAAGGTCAGTTTTGAAATGGTGACTAATTAAATTATACCCCAAGATTAAAAAAAAAAAAGCAATTAAGAGATTCGCTGATAGATCAGCAGTTAGTGGATTTGAGTTGATCAGAAACTGAAAAAATCTATTTAAAATTTATAAACCCAAGCACTATGAGGTTCTGTAAACAACATTCTTTGGTGTGGGAGTTGTTACAGAGTAAAAAATATGACTCAAAATTGCTTAAAAATAAAGTATGTAGAAGAACAAAGATGTAGGAAGATGTTTGAAAAGAAACTGCATCTTAAAAGATGTTGAGGAATTTCTGCATGGTATTCAGACTGCTAAAGAATGGCTTCTTCCCCTGGCTTCTTTTAGCATGATTTATTATTGATAACGATAAACTGCGTGGACAAATTTTAAAAGCCAATCTCGGGTGCTGCTTGCCTCACGGCATGAAACACGGAGGCATTTTTGTCAAACATCCCGACTCCTGGCCGCAAACTTAAAGATCGTCACTCAATTGACATCACTTGATATTTTAGAGCCCACAGCAACAGTTGTTTGATGTATTTTGATGTCCAAATGCTTTGAGTTTGGGTTACCCAGCATGGTTGATGTAGAACAGAAAAAAACAAACAAAAAAAAAACAACCCGCCATCAATCTACAGCTTGACAGAAGAAACATCACACTTGATTGGTTTTTTTCAGGATTCAACTTGTTCACATCGCCGCTGTAGGGTCAAATTTCATGTTTGGACATCTAGATGATGACTGATGCAGCCTTTAAGTAGTGAGAAGACAATTTTACCTTAAACACTAACAAAGAACTTCAGCTCTTTGATGTTAGGTGCCAACCGAATTCACTTAAAGAAAGAAAATATCCAGAGTGCAAGTCCAGCTCCATCTTGAAGCAATGACAAATCTTTATCCAGCGAGGGATAACGAGTGTGCACATCACTCAGTTGTGCTACCCTCACACATTATCACCCTCAACATACAGGACCTACTCTTCCTCTCCCTAATGACTTGTGGCAAGTTATTCACCTCGACTTATTTCCATGTGCTGTCAGAGGGATTACTGGAGCTGGCTGAGAAAGACCACAATGCCAGAACTTATGACTTATGCCAAGTGTGGGCAGCTGACAATACCCCGGCCCAAATGAGATGACGCAACCCCTGGCCAGACAAATTCAACTGGACTCGGCTTAAGTCGTTAAACGGGTTGGAGAAATGAGAAGAAAAAAAAAAAAAAAAAAAAGAAGACATTTGATTGTATTAATTTAGCAGACTACACAGCCAGTAAGCAACCCAACAAACGCTGACAATACAGCAGACAAATGGGATGTTGATCTAACCCTCACTCCCCAAAAAAAGAAAAAAAAAAACAAACAAACATTTGGGTTTGTTTGTAACCATTACTGCACGTTTCTTTAGCTACAGCTTCGTTTTCTTAAGAATTCATTCAACAGCTGCCAACGACCATAAAGGGTTGGCCGTAAAAATGCACAAACACAGCAACTGGTAGAGCTGACACCAGAGGAGCGTAAATGGAGCCTGTTGCTTTACTGGGTGAGGTGGGAATGTGAGAAGTCCAGGGCTTACTGTAACTATGTAACTGGCTGAAGGAGGGGATTGGAGAGGGAAGGGAAGGGTACTCCCTTAAGTTTGTTCAGGCTGTGTTGTGCGCTCCGTGAAAGACGTGAGCAAATGACCATGAGGACCAATGAGGGAAATCAGTGTGTGCAGTAGGTGGGAGGTCCAATTTGGGATTAATATGTTAAGCTTTTAATCTACATGGTCCAAAACAGCAGTCACTTCTGAGAATTTGAACAGTCCTTGTTATTATACAAGCTCAAGAAAACGCTTCAAAATGATCAGTTAATTCACTTTTTTTTTTTTTTTTTTATATATATAATGAAGCATTGGACAAAAGTAATCACACAAAAAAATCTAAAGACAAATGTCAAAAAAAAAAAAAAAACTTCAATTCAAAAATGCATATTTATCTGGATTTTATCTCATTTAGTTGCTTTCTTTCTTTAGTAACTAACTTATTTATGACGACCGGAAAGCACATCTTCACTCACCATTTCACAATACTCAAACACAAGCAGGAAGGGGATGGCCTCGACGCATTGTCCGAGGCACTGGAGGATGTTTGGATGCTGCAGCACTCTGAAAACAACAACCAAACACAAAGGGTTAAAAAAAAAGTCTCATTAATAAGGCTAGAAAGAAAGGAACAAAGAAAGAAGCTGTACAGCTTTATTTTGTGTTTTCAAATGTGATAAAATATTGTGCAATGTATAGAAGAAAAGGCAGAGGGTGCTGCCAACACTGGTACTACTGTTCAAATATGGACAAAAAGACAACATAATCAGTAGTTTGGTATTTAAAATTAAAACTGTTGATAATTTGTCATGATTACTCATTGGGTTTATAATAATAGCGCATTTACTGAAATTTATTGCATACACTTTCCATGCGATTACATATTTTAAAAAGGGTACAATCTTAGGATTTAAAAATGACTTCAAGGACTCAGTAGCAAAATGTCATATTTATGAAAAATCAATAAATCAATTTTCAAGGGGCACGTATGATTATCTTTAGACTAGAAGTATCTTACTCAGCCTCTGAGGCTAGAATCTTTAGTAGAAGCACATCTTGCATGAATAGAAGATCTTTGAGTATGGAGGAGTTTGTTGAAGTAGCAGCTTCCCCTCTGTTTTGATGTAACTTGTTCATGATTTGACAATTATTTCTTGAGATTAAAGCTAAGAAATAGTGATGGATACTTAAAAGAATGGCGTTTGTTTAATTTCATAAATCTTCAATTTGTTTTAAACATCGAAGAGTTTTTTTTAAGATGAAGTGAACATACTGTATTCAACTGCATGAGTGAAGTGAAATTATTTTTGTTGATCAACACGTTTGTGTGATCACTTTTAATAATAATAATAAAAAAAAAATTTGCACATTAAAAAAAGAGCCAAAATCAACAAAAATGCATTGTGTTTAAAATGACTACTTCGTTCATCTACCTGTATGGATCCCCCTGCTGCAAAAAGTCATTCTGCTCCTTAGCACTGGCACTTGCTTTCAACTCCTTTACCACCACTCTGGCTCCCCCAGGGTCTGTGTATATTTCACTCAACAGGACCTGACAGCAAATAAACACAAGCTAAATAATTAGGGGTCCTGTGAAACGAGCAAACATCAACTGAGAACATTTACATTTTATTCCCTGTATTACCCAACTCCCTACCAAATACATTAATCACCAATTAGCATGAAAAATGCTGCCTGCACAAAAATAAGAAAAACAGCAAGATAAAATGCTAAGCTCAAACTTAAAAAAAAAAAAAAAAAAACATCTTACCTGACCAAACCAGCCATTTCCAATCTCCTGGATGTAACTCAAACTGTGGCGTCCTACTTTGAAACCACTTGATGATTCTGAAACACCAAACAGAAACCAAATCAAAACTGACTGTACACAAGTTTTGCTTGTCATACTTAAAAATGTAAAACCTGTTGAGAAATGTGTTTCCAAAAAGGGTTGACAAAGTTCAAGTAGGTGTAATGTAAAGAATTTAAGCCTGGCTTTGCCAGTATTTGTGTTTTTGCTTATTGCTCATCTGACCTGTGATGCTGGCCAGAGGCTGCAGATGCGGGGGTCCTGGCAGTGGCACGGGAGACACAGCGAGGGTGTAAACCTCAGCCGGAGACTGCATAGAAGGCGTGTCCTCTGCTGGCGGAGTGAAGTCGATCTCATCATCAAAGTGGTCCTCAAACTCCTGCTCAAAGGAGAAATTAATTAATTAATTAATTAAATTAGGAGGAATTGTGCTCTTGTGACAACCTGCCAGCCGCCTCTCTCACCTTGAAGTCGATCTCTCTTTCCTTGCAGCAGGTCATGCAGTTCACTAGCACCACCACCAGAGCCACAAGCACAACTAATGACACGATCAAGGGCAGGTAGAGAGACACAGGCAAAGCGTCCCCTGTGTGTCCATCTGAAATGACAAAAATAGATAAAAGAAATTAAAAAAAAATAAATAAATACAATTTTGGCTGTAATAAAAAAAAAGAAAGAAACAGAGCACCTAAGAGCAGTTTTTTATCTAAATCTACCCACAACAAAGGTTTGCTTAAGACAAACAAAAATAGACTGATCATCTGATCACGAAACTCCTGCAGCTCAGCCGCCCGACTGCACGCAAAAAAGGCAATGTCAAACCAAAACACTGTGCAGTGCTACATACTTATATTTCTAAGTGCACATTATCCACAAACATAAGAACTGTCGAAGCTTTTAGTCCCGACCATCCGGCTTCTGGTTCAGAGACATTCGGAGAGACAGTTGTGGGGGTGTCCACACGGGCCCATCAGCAGCTGATGGTGCAGCAGCGGTGACAGCAGGTGTGGGGTTTCTCGAGCGAGGATGCTGCTGGCCTAGCAATTCGACTGGCAGCTTTAACAACAGCCTTTCAGCCCACCCGCTGCACTTCTCAGCCTCTAGACTGCAGCCGGGCCCGCATCACAAAAATCAGCCTTTTCCATTTTAGCACAACTGGTAAAAGAAATTTCAAGCATATTATATACACACAGAGGTGAATCTCAAAATACGACAGAAAAAAAAATTTAAAAAAAATAAAATTTTTGATATGACTTGGAAGACGAACGAGTAGCTGTTACAGAGGTGAATATTGTGTGTTTACCTACATCCCTGCACAAAGAATTTATGTATTTAATTTGATTTTTTTTTTTTTTTGTGATACTGACAGACCAACACAAAGTAAGGGAGGACTGAAAGAAAACTATACATGGCTGCATTTATACAAACAGAAACCTGAGAAGTGTGGCTGATTACCACCAGTGGAGTCTGGACTTTGATTAAGCCAAACATGATCTAATCCATACTTCACTGTTAGTCCCAACTCTTTTTCAGACAAACAGATATTTTGCAAGGTTTCATCCATTTACCCATGAGCTCATCTACTTGTCCTTAAACATTTGTTAGTTTGTAAATATTTTAAATTTAGTAAACATAAATAAAAAAATAATAAATAAATAAAAAACAGGCACTTTAAAAGTCAGGAGTGCCATCTATTATTGTAAAGCTTTAAAATATTCATGTTCAACTAAATAAATGTTTAATTGGAAAGTACTTTTAAATGTAGCAATTATTTATTTCCTATTTGAAATGCGATTACAAAAATGCAATGATTGTTGCTCAATTACTTTAACTTAAGAATGAAAAACTGCAACTCCGTTTAAAAAGAGAAAAACAACAATTAGCTCATGTTACGCTTTAGTTTTAAACAGTTGCGTAAATACTGACACTGTAAAGCGAGGGTACTTTATTTAACTTTGTACTCTGAGGTTCTAAATTCTAAAAAAATAATATTTTCGTGAATGGAAAACTGTTCAGAACAGACCCATCCTTTCACATGCTTGCTACATCCCATGGCTACAGAACATAGGATTTTAATGTGGCTATATCATGTATTTTTTTTTAAATCCTTTTTTTCTATTTTTTTTTTATCGTTCATGTGTAATATTCTAATGTTCTAAGAAGCTGAAACTGGGATTGTTACCTAAAACAAATCATCCTCGTGAATCACAGACAAGTGCATACTAGTATATGACACAGTCTCACTTTTCCAATAGCATTACCGCAAAGAATTACCGTTTCAACGATATCTTTACTAGACTCAAGCACCTTTAACATCATAACGAAAGGCAGGTCAGCTAGAACGTTAAACCAGAACATTGTTTTCATAAGCATAGGAATTACTGGATTATACTTCCAATTGAACCTGTTGAACAAGACTGCGAAATGGATACTGTGTGAATACTGGATGGTAAAACCAAATGCATACAATTTCTAAATGGCTCTTTAATGTCACAAAGGATTACATTCAAAACAACCTAGTGGAAAAATTGCCTTAATTGTAGGAAGGGTTTCAGTGCAAACACCCTGTTGTGTCTTCCAGCATAGCAACAAGTGACAAGGAAGTCCAGGACCCCCAGAGATGCTGCAGCAGCAGTCAACAGGAGCCGGGTCGCTGCCCCTCCGCATGGGATCACTTCTTCTTTATTAGGTTTTATTTGAGTCATGGGTTCCTATCATGATTTGACAGAGTTCTAAGACAAAGATGGTTTTTCTAGGACCAACACTGTAGGGAGATGTCATGTCTTATTTCAGCTGTACTGCATATTTCAGTAGTGATTCTCACAGAGGAGAAGCTGACCCATTTTTTTAAAACAGACTTTTAAAAAAAAGAAAAAAAAACTGCTTACTGCTAAAAAAAAATAAATAAATAAATAAATAAATAAATAAATAAATAAATAAATAAATAAAAATAAAAGGATGTCGGCAGAGAGCAGAAAACTGCACTGTCAGGCTGGTTCAGGATTTGTCAGTCTGGGATCAGCTACAATAAATCAAAAGCAAAGCCCGTGTTACCAGAGTTAGCCGGGTCATTCTTTTCAAGACATTATTTTCACAGAGTTGTGTTCAGTCCAAATATTTTTCATGCTTCTGTTGTCCAGAAAAATAAATAAATAAATAAATAAATAGAATGACAGAAACCTGGTTGGCTTGTGGTGATGTCAACATCAATTTGACTCCGAGCCATCCAAAACAATGCCCTGGCAGCAATATGACAGACAGACAGGCCTGAAACAAGCCTCACTGACTGACTGGTGATCAAGCAACAAGATAACCGGGCAGTGAAGGAATACAGCCAACATTCCCTGTGGTAAACATGTCAGCATGAGCTGGCTTCGCCCCAAAACGAGGCACAAAAATCTATAACTGTACTTTTACTTTACACTAAAAGGACCAAACAGGTCACTAAGGCAATACATTTGCTAATGAATACCTAAGCCAGTAGTTTTAATTATTTTTAAGTGCATCCACATCCATGTTCTTCAGCTAAATTCAAACTGTAACAATGAAGAATTATGGACTTGTACCGTTTAATTTATGCACCGGCTGGTGTAGGCCAAACAGGAGTGGCGAGGGAAAGGTTGTGGGTGATAAAACCATAAACAGCGGGCTCATACTGCAGCCTTTCTTTCCTGTATGCTACATTATAACTGAGCAAACAACACTGCTGCTAATCATTGATAGGGGCTGATAAGATTAGAAAACATTGCGGTTACACATTACAGGTCCACCGTTTAACTTTTTCACATTATTTATATATATTTTTTTAATGCGGTATTCTGAGAAACTGGAGGGAATGGGACTGATGAAAAATTACCGACGTAATCTAGAAAACACTGAAATTACTTCCTGAAACTAGACTCATGGGATTCTGAAGATGACCTGTGATTTTCAATCTATTTGACTTATCCGCTGAATATACAAATCACTATAAAATCTGCACAAGTTTACAGGTGTTGAAAAGGAGTGTCATGATGCAAGCAAATTAGCACATGAAGAGATAGCAAAACATGTATTTCATAAATAATTTAATAGACAACAGTCATATGATCTCACTCATGAAAAGACATGTGATGCAGGTAAACTATCCTCAGTGCTATAAAAGTTGAAGTGATTATTCTGGAAACAGTTTAGCCAGGCTGGTAGGCAATCATCAACTCAACTCTGCAATAAATCTAGACAAAAACGGGTCAGGATATAGAAACATGGGATTGTTTAATAGCGCACAAAAAAATGAAGGTGCATACCAGAATCAATTTTGGATGACTAAGGTCTAAATTTAGGAAAATGTGTAAAATGTTTTAATTTTCAGAATTTTCTCAGTCAAATGGTGCTACTTAAACAAATCAGTGTCATCATAAATACACTGATCAATCCACTAGGTTTAAAGCCCAGGAACATCAACAAAGAATGACTTTCCTCTATTTTGGTGCCATTACTAACCTTTGCTAAAACTGTGTTTAGTTGTCGTTTGTATTTGGGTCTTTCCATCTTCAGTTTTGTGTTCAGTTGGTGAAACGTAAGCTCAGTGCAATATTCCACTTCTTCACCTTCGAAAATAACCATTTTGCTTTCAGAGTATATGCTTAGTTTGCACAGTAATTCAACTGTATAATAAAACACCCAATAATTAGAGTGATGGGTTACCATCTTCATATTATCGTGCAATTTAAAAGGCAAGGCCAAACACACAAACTGTGATCAAACTGTGGCATCTCCTCAAAAATAGCTTTTAATCTGTAATTGCAGGAAGCAGCTTCAAGGGTTTTATTTTTACATTTCAAGTACAAATAAGCATATAATTCACTACCTCATATGATTTTATTCCAATTTAACATTGCAAAGCTTATCTGTAAAGTCCAAGCTGCCAAAATGGTGTTTAGATGAGAAGATATTTTTTTAAAGGACAAACCAAAAAGTCTGTTAATGTTTTAAAACTCATATGACAGCAATTTACTGGTGTGACACATCAGTGAATAAATATATCATAAGCCCACAAAACGTCCAGATCAGATCTAAAAATTGAAAATGATTTATGTATTCATTTCATATATGCTGTAATATCTGGTTTGTAAGAAAAATGTCAGCAGGATGTATTTTTGTTTCAACACAGACTGTTTGAAAGATGAATGTAGTACAATCTACAGTACTAATGAAATCTCTTGACTGACTATTACAAATCATTTAAAACACCATAGATGTTTAAAATTTCAACCTTATTTGCTCTTTCACGTTAACGTGAATGTGTGATAAACTGCTATTGAAATGTGAACATATTGGACGAGATCTATACCAACATCTAAGAATTTCCCTCACAATAAAGCGACTTGCTGTTAAATAGATAGCAGAGGTAAATGTATCCAATTATATCGTGTGCTTTCCCTTAGGGGAGAGATTCGGGGAAAGTTTGTTTATGATTAGCTTCTCAGGTGGTCAGTTAGCCAGGTCGTGACTTTCACTTGATTGTGTCGTTCTTGCCGTAATTTTGTTTAAATATTTACGGGTTTGTTCAACCACCGAGTAAAACGGTTTCTTTTTTAAACCATTACCCGCACACTGCCCAACAATCTTCACAAATTACCAGAGAACAGTTATGCTGGCGTTAGCTTTATAGTTGATCATTAGCAGCAGGTAACCATTCCAGAAAATGATAGCTGGTAGACATGTTTACGTATAAACACAAAGTAAAGAAAACCATATACCATTCATTTGTTAATAAACTCGTCTTCAGGTGCCTTACCTGTTTTGCGAGTTTCCCGAAGAGGGAAAGCTTCAGAGAGCCAACATCCAGACAGAAAAATCCAGGTAGCCAGCAATAACACAGACCCATGGCGTCTCTCCATCATCCAAGTTTAGCTAACGAAATGTTAGCCAACTGAAACTGTCCTAAATAAACGGCTGATATAATACCGAATTACGTGATTTAAACATTGATTACCAATTTACTGTCAGTGTAAGCTACACATAAGAGCGCATTTTGGGGCTGTTTTAGCCAGATGCTACTCGCCGGGCTAACTAGCTTGAGCTAGCATGTCGAGGCTAGGAGTTTCAGCTGACGACAGCAAACGCAACTCCGACATGAAGCGTTCCGTTGTCCATAGAGACCAAAAACAGCGGCCACCTTTCGCGAACTGTCATATTTGATGAAAACGTCCAAGCCTTATTTACATAAACATAATCTCAGAAAAAATAAATCAACAGTCCTTTGGTATCATGAAACGCCTCTCCCCCAAAGCGCCATGTTCCTGTACATCACAGAATAGGGGCGTAAAAATCCATGTGACTGGCAGTTACCTAAACCAATCAAAAGGAAGAATGCCTTTAGCTTGTACTTGTATGGCCAATCAGCGTGTAGTTTTCTTATCAGTCAAGCGAATTCACTGATTTGTATCAAAGCAGAGGAAAGTCTTTTACTCCCAATCTCTTGACTGACGTGTTACGCAATGGAAGAAGGCATACCATAATAAAATGCTCATTTCTGGATTTATAACCAATTATAAATAAATAACTGACACAGTCAGTCTTCTTTATAAGCTAGTTTTGCTTTTTAAAACTCTGATGCTGCTACCTCAGCAGATAATGGCAGAAGAGCAAGAAAAGAAAAGAGACCCCCTAACCCCTGTAGATGAAATCCAACATCTTGTTGCACACACACTAAAGCACTTTTATTTTCTTTGTCAAATCTGCCCCTTATAAAAACATATTAGAGAGCCATTGTTGAAAGAAAGCCACAGAGTGGTACCATTTTTAGCTTGTCACAAATTAATATGGGTAACACATCAAACAAGTGGAAAAAGGCAACATGCAAAACAGTATTTGAGTTGGAAAACTATACAGGACATGACTGTGAACACATAATCTCTTTAGTGAAACATGGTGATGGCAGTATCATGTTCAGGGAATAAAATTCTTTACCAGGGACAGAGAAGATGCAGGTCAGAGTTGATGGGACAATGGAATCCCATAAGAAAATGCACACCACCATTTTCCAGATTTTTGTTGCAAAAGGTTTTGAAAGTTATGTGTGACATTCTCAGTTATGCAATATTTTATGTTGGTCTGTCAGATGAAATCCAAATGACATTCTAGTTTATGAATTCAACATGACAAAATGTGAAAGATATCAAGGGGGCATGAATATTTTTACAAGGCATTCTATATGATTATGATTTGATATGCCAATTTAAAAAGAGAAACCAATTATTTTTGAAATTTTGAAATTGAGATGTGTATGTTTTGATATCTAGTAAGAATCAAGAAGTAATTTGTTCTGACAGTTCATATAGAATATTTTGTCTACAGAAATATGCAATATTTTGTGAGTCTGTGTTTTTAATACGTATCTATATGTAACTTTTTCACAACATTAAAGTGAGTAAGAGCAATCTAACACAGGTACAGTGAAATAATCTGCATTTGCTTTAATCAGATGACAAAGGTTTTTTTTTTTCTTTTTTTTTTTCTTAAACCGATGTTTCTGATATGCCTGCAAGTTTACAAATCAGTAGGCCTATGAATGACAAAATTATCTGCTCTGATTAACTGATGAAGGAGGAGGAGGCAATGCGTGGCATACAGGGAATCTCTCTGGGATTGAGGACAGAGACGTCAGGTTGCTTCTTACACTCTAGATCACGAATCCGCAACAGAGTGTCAGTGACTCGGGCACAAAGCGAACGAGGCAGAGATCCGCAACATCATCTGCTTGGAAAGTTAAAACATCACCCACAGCACGGTGAGCATCTTTTGGTTCCTTTGTACAATTGTGTTATTTCTTTAGCTTTGTATCTTTTGAAAAAAAAATTGTTTTGCTATTAGGAAGAAACTACAGAATGTGAAACCCTATTTTTGATTTCTTGTTTATTTTAGCAACTTTCTATGTTCGCTAACATTTTCTGATAAGCTTAAAATTAAAGTCCAGCTTCTTCTCTTAGGCAAATTTTGCTACAGTATTTATGTTTCTAACAAGTGGTATCCTTTTCATGAAAACTATACTCTAAGTGCTAACCAATGTCTTATTTTACACTACAGGCAATGAGCAATTATAGTATATAGCTTCATTCCAACCGATTTTATCTCACATGAACCGCTATCTGACATTAAAAAAAAGAGCACCAGATTCTGTTTCTGTCACCTTCCATTCATGTGTTTCTGTGTCTCCCTAAGGTAGCCCCAGAGAAACATGGCATTTGCTGGGATGTTGAGTGAAGAGGACGTCAAAGCTGCAGTCCAAGCTTGTCAAGGTGAGTCAGATAATATGCACAAATCTGCTTGCAAGAAGATATATATAAAGAGCAGAAAAATCCTCTTTAATTTAAGGAAATACACACATATGTACAGAGAGACACAGCTAACACTCCTGAGGGGAAGCATTGCACTGTGTTGTTCACAGAAGGGTGAGGGCAGGGATCCTGCTGGTTACCAGGCAAACCCACGGCAGGAGACTGGTTACCAACCAGGGACCAGTTGGAAGGCTTTTCATCAGACATCCCTAACATAGCTGACCCAATAGCACAAGCTATTGCATGCCGAGACATTTAATTATTTATCTTTAGCAATTATGTCTGCATGGCAAGGCATGCAAAGCAAGCTCTGTTGCTGGTTCTTTCTATTTTCATGCTTTGGCAGGTCAAGAAAATATGAGCAAGTTTTTCAAAGTAAAATAAACATTTCTACGAAATGGCTACACTAGAGGATGTGACACAATAAATGAATTCATCATTTTAGAGATCCTCTTCAGTGTGAGTCTTTTGAGCTATTTCAGGGTGTCTTCTTGCAAAAACCTCCATAAGTTGAGAAGTTTTGGCATTTAAGTTTGCATTAAAACCTGAGGCAATATTTGTTTTCCTTGTGCTGTTTAAAAAGCACAGGAGCAAAGCCTACAATGTGCTTCAGGGTGTATATTGGTAAATGTCATTGGCAGAAGAATGAAAGTCATCTGAGCGAATGAGTAAATGCAACGTCTCTATTCAGACCCCCACTATTCGTTCTTTAATGTCATTCAGCGATTGACCATTCACTCTCTCACTCACTCACGCATGTGTCTGTTTCTTGTGGTTGCTCCATTTCATGTTCTGTCTCCTCTCTCTCTCTTTCTGCCTGACCCATGTACTGTAGCTCCAGGCACATTTGACTTCAAGATGTTCTTTGCACAAGTGGGACTGACTGGCTTGTCTGAGGCAGACAGGAAGAAAGTGTTTACTGTCCTGGACCAAGACAAGAGCGGATTCATTGAGGAAGAGGAGCTGAAGTAAGGATAGAGGTGTAAACACAAACCACAGTTTGGGCCCCAAAGATATTGTAAATCAAACATTTTTAAGGCACATCATGTTGTGCGCATGAAGATAAGGTATCGGAGAATAGGGTATGAAATTACGACTATGCGTTTATGTATTTATTCTTATTGCGCGGTCCTCTTTTAGATTGTTCCTGCAGAACTTCTGTCCAGCTGCCAGAGAGCTCACGGTGGCCGAAACGAAGGCTTTGATGGCAGCAGGGGATAAAGACAGCGATGGCAAAATTGGGATAGAAGGTAACAAAATATTTTTAAAAAAAAGTGATGCAAAAACAGAAGAATATTCTGTAGCAACTAACGTCTGTCCATTTGTTTCCTCCCTCCAGAGTTCTGTGATCTTTTGAACTGAAGATGGAAATACTCAGATCATGAATTTGGAGTTCTTCACTCTTCATTGGCTGATGAAAAAAAAGGACCAAATTTTGCACCTGCTTGCTAGTTTCGTATTTGATTTCTTAACACGTGAAAAAGGTTGAAAAGGCCAAACGTGGATGTCTGCATCGAATCAATCTGGTCTTCTGAATGGAATAAAAAATGGATTTCAGGTGTTGTACCACTGTCGTCTGTTGTTTTTTTCGTTATCTCTTTGAAGTTATTTTAAGATATGGTGAAATGATCTCAGGTCTTCTTAATCGTCCCCAAAAGGTCCAGATACCTAGTCCTTTTTACACTGATACCTCTCAATTAAACTCAATTAAATTAAATGTTTCAGTGGGTCGCTGGTTCAATTCCTCACCCTTGTTGCTTGTGTCTTTGGGCCAGGCGCTTTACCTGCCAGCTGGGGTTGGTCAGAAGGGCTGATGGTGCAAAATGGCAGCCTTGCTTCTGTCAGACTGCCCCAGGGCAGTTGTGGCTACAGACCAGTAGCTTGCCATCGTCACCATGTGCTCTTTGAAGCCACAAAATATTATAAATTATTCTAAATAAAATCAAGCTGGCTAAGACCAGTGGTCAGGAGCCATGTAGAGAGGACACAAACACATCATGCAGAAATATTATCTGAGATGGGACATTAACACTGGACATCACCCTTAGCACACCATGGCAGTATCATTCTGTGTGGACTTTTCATTAACAGAGAAGATGATCAGACTTAAAATTAGGTGAAAGAAAACCTCTTGACTTGAAAATGGAGTGTAAGTACATCCTGTACAGCCAAAGCAACAATGGTTTATGGTAGGCCTATGAATGACCTAGTTTTCATGTCAGGATTGTCCAGTTAAAGCCCAGCCCCAATAATAATAATAATAATAATAATAATAATAATAATAATAATAATAATAAAATCTACAGTGATACAGTATCAATTCAGTTTGATTGACTTTGAGCTTTTGGCAAAAAACAAAATGAAAGTCAGCAAAAACAAAACAAATGGAATGAAAAGAAATGAACATGACACTTCTGAGACTTCTTTTGTAAAAAATAATAATAAAAAAAGTTTAGAATAACCCGAAGCAAGCTCAGCATTGAAGCAGACGACATACACCAGGCATTCCTTTCACAAATAGTAATGAAATAGTCGCAAAAGGCTGCGGACATTAGCATGGCAAGACATGAATATAATTGCATTTAATTGCAATAGCACCTTCTTGAATTGTCCCGATTGTCTTATTAGGGCTTGTACTTCTGTCTGGAGGGTGACTCTCAAATTACTGCTGAGTCTGGGTGAAATATTCATCAGTATCATAAATATCTAGAAATATCTAGACTACATATTGCTTAGACAATATGGCTGACAGCTAAATTAACAGAAGGAATGAAAATAAGATTTGTCATCAAATCGTCACCTTGTTAATACACAAACCCATTTGGGATGCAAAAAATAGTCCAGATGATTGGCAGATTGCCTACTAAGGACAGAGATCTCGTGGTACAGACCTCAAAGTCCTGTTCCGGTTTAGACATGTTGCTGGTACATTTGAAATGCGACCCTGCCTGTGGAGGTTCAGTGAAACTCATGTAAAGATACTGTATCCTTTACTT